TATTTGAGGAGAGGATTTGTGTAAGATTTCTCTTCTTATCCTCTAAAAGGCCAAGTTCACTGCCTTGAACATATGTAGTAAGACTCTGCTGAATAAATAAAAAAGGCAGTTCTTTGCCTTTTGGGAAGAAGTAGACTCAGGCTTCTGTTTCAGAGTATGGTGGGAACAGAGTCCAGAAAAGTTAGAGGCATGTGAATCCTAATCACTCCCCCCTGAGATTGTATCCAAGGTTAAGTGAACGAAGAGGGGAAATGACCCATGAGCACGTAAGCATTTCCCCAATAATCTCTTCATTGGACAGAGAAGAAGTCTTTATTCATTGCTATGTTCTTTTTTCCTTAAGTACTTTCTCTTGAACTCACAGAGCTAATATTCATGAGGTTTGCTGGAGCCCTCATGGACCAACTGTGGCGAACACTGAGCGCTCTTCCTCTGAGACATATTTAGTGGAGCTGTGGCCAGAGATGGCAGCTTCCAAGAGCCAGCTCACCATGCTGTCTGGTGTATTTCTAAGTGGGTTATTTGGTTCTGGAAATCAGGAAGAGCATGGGGCAAGATCCCACCTGATACCCCAACTGACTGAAGTAAAAAGAAAGGTCCCCAGTATGGTAGTGGTCTCTTAGTAGAATCCCTAGCATTCCTCTAATGACATAGCTTTCAGAGTACCACCTAAATAACCTTCTGGACCATTATCCTACTGCTAATCAGGGTCAAGGCCACTCCCATAAGAGCCCTCGATCCTTATATATCACTGTCTGAAAGTTATATCTTTAGCCTGATGTTGATCTGTACGTAAAAGGTAATGATTTCTAACAGGTGAAATTCAGAGACATGTTCAAGGAAACACATCCTTCATGAATAAACTGAACCCCTGCCTAGGATAGCTCATTTTATTTGGTGTTAACAATACAGCAATGACATTTTATGTTATATTGAGTCTCTGGGAAAAATGGAGCCCTCAGATTTCCCTAATCCTTCTATACTAGGATTGGGATATTGTTTGGCCTAGACTGGAGTAGCCTGCAGCTAAGTGCACCAAAGGCATACAAACAACATTACCACAGGGACCTCGTCCATCTATAGTTACTCTAGCGTGCCCCTTTGTAATGTGCTGGTAAATCCCATACCCACATTTCTGGCTGCAGGTATCAGCCTTTTACTGAGCAGTGCTCAAAATATTTTTGAATGATACAAATAACTATAAATACCTCACACTTCATAGATTACCTGTATTAAGAAAAAAAAGGATGATTTTACATAATCAGTATCTCTTCTTTAGAAATAATAATAGAGTTAATTATAACGCTAATAATATTAGCTTGGTGTTCTTAGTCTTTTGGCAACACTGAAATTTGTTTTTCTGATTCCTTTTTATAAAGGACATTTCTGAACCATCATTCAGTCTCCTGAATACATATGCCTATTATATGGGTGTACCATGAGCAAAATTACTGATAAAGGTACTTGAACCACTTACATCCCTTACAATTAATAAACTTGTGAATTCATCCTGTTTTTAAGTCAAAATCTTGCAAACCTGATTAATACTGGTGTTCATTCAGCAACTTTTATTGAGCATCTGCCATGTGTCAGGTACTGGGGATGCAGTAGTGAAAAGGCAGACAAGGTCCTTTAATTACAGTCTGATGATTATCATGGGGCTGATTAACCCTGACTCAACTGATGCAATCTAATTCCTTAGCCTGTTAAACTGAAGGATGTATCATGGGTTCAACAGTCGCTGAGTGAAGTCTTATCTGAAACAGCCAGGCAGTTCTGCCCTTAATTATAACCCTTGGATCTGAGAAAAATAGAAGGGAAAGAGGGAGGCAGGGAGGGAGAAGAGAGAAGAATTATCCATTGAGGTACAAATGCCAGTCAAAGCACTGGAGAAGTGGCTGAAGGTGGAACCACGGCACCAAAGCTTTTAAAGTCATGGTTATTACCCACTTCTTTCAAATTCCCCCAAGTCAAAATAATCTCTAAAGGGGAAAGAAGGCGACTACATGAAAAGTTCTCTATAATGGATTTACAGAGCCAGTTTTGGGAAGCACGTCTAGCAAATTCCTCATTCTAAAAGTCTTTTCCAATTACTTTATTACCCATATAGGGTAATACATTTTGATAGGGAAGAAATTAAACTATACCAGTCAGAACCTGGGAAAAAGGGTTACAATTTAGCTGTGTGTCTCACTCAGTAACTATGTAGATTAAAGTAGCTGTGCTGGTTCCACAGCTCCAGTCTTTGTAGCTGTATGTGTGAACAATGCTGCTGAACAAGCCATTTGGTTCAAATTTGAGCCTCAGAGCTGAGCCTTAGGCGGGTTCAATTTAAACCTGTAAAGAGGAGAGAGGATATTTAAGAGCAGAACGTCTTCCCTCATACTATAGTGGAGAAAGATGAGGAAAAAACTGCACCAATTCATGCTACAGACGATCCTGTGGACTGTGGGGACCAGGTCATGAACTCAGGACCTTGGCCACAGAGAACTCCAAAGACACGCACACAAGTGGTTGGTTAGTGGCAGGCTTCAGCGGTCTGGGTCTAGCTTCTCATTTTGTGAGCTTCAAGAGGATCATGACCTCACATAGAATCAAAGGTCACTGAAATGAACATGTTCTTCAGTCCTCTGCCTGCTCAAGGTCACTTTAAATTGACCTGAGTAATAACGAACCAGCAGGTGCAATTTCCTGTTCTTAGATTACATGGCAATCCATAACATTAAAAAACCCCACAATGTCCACTGGACACTCCACTGCTACCATTAAAATGAAATCCATAGTGCCTCCCCTCTTCTGAAAGACAGTTCTCAGGTAAGGTGCAGGGTGTTTTCAAATTACATGCTTTGCTCTGATCTGGCACATTCAGAGAGGGGCCAGGGGATGCTAGTCTGGGCAGATAGCTGAGTAAGTTCCCAGCAAGTGCTTTTTACTACAAAGTGCATCTTTGAGGTGTAAAGGGGAGAAGGAGGGCAACACTGGTGGTCAGCGACTACAGCTGAGGTGATTCCCTGAATCAGCAGGAAGGGTATAGTCAACAGCAAGGGGATAAGACTGTCAGGGAAGGAATGGGTGAGACGGCAGGAAGGAGTGGGAGACGGGGAGGAAGGAGAGATGTTTCTCTTTCCTTTCCTCCAACACAGTCTCACTACACCCCTCCTTGTGGTAGCACCTGCCTCCCTGCTTCTCCTGAGCCAGCTGCAGGATTATAGTTTCCTGCCCCCTTGAAACCAAATGTGGTCATGTGACTCACTTTGGGCAGTGACATGGCATGAAAGTGATGTGTGTCACCTCCGTAGAAGCATTAATCGCTGTGCCTGACTTTCCATCTGTGGATAAAATGAGAGTTCCTGTGGCCAGGATTCTCACCTGGCCCTGGTTGACTGGCTCACTGCACACCTGTGGGCAATACATGGCTGTTAACTGAAGAGCTCTGTCCAGTGCTCTGGGTGACATGGTGGCATGGATGCAAGGCTGGAGAGCAGAGCAGGGGCTGGAGTGGTGGCAGTGCTGAGGTCAGAGGCCCAGAGGACAGCTGTGTGGGACGGCTGTGCAGGCAGAGAGGCCCAGAGGATGGCTGTGCAGACAGGGGCCCAGAGGCAGAGACTGGCTTGCTGCATGCAGACTCACTCTGAGTGAATGGGATTCTAGTGACTGATCTGCCACTTGGAAATAAAGTTCGGTATAACCCTTTCACCCCAAGAACATTTTGCTGTCAATTTCTTTGGTCACACTGAATCCATAGCGAACTTGCCTGGGGCTGAAACCCATTGGCAAGACACCATCCTACTCTTCTGCTTTGCTCATGTGAATGCACCTACTGATTCACAAAGTGCCGTAAAATCAAAGCAACAGACTACATGTGAGTGAAAAACAAAAAAACCAAACGAACTTTTGTTACATTAAAGCCATTGAGGTTTCTGGGTTGTTAGCCTATCTCAATACCATCATCTATCTTCCTTCCCTCTGTCTGTCTTTCTGACAGTCTCTCTCCCTCACTCTTTTCCTGCCTCCTCTCTTACCTGTCACTTCCCTCCTTTCCTCTCCCCTTCACTGTATGATTCCAATGTTCTCCTAACTGGAAATAATACCAATAGAATGTTTTGTGGTCCTATTCTTAATCTAAAACACGGATACATTTGTTTTTTTGAAAAAGAAACAAGTAAATTTTTTAATTAAACATTTCGTATTTCTCTCTTCAAAAAAAAAAGCCCTGAGGTAAATTAAAAACTAACTTTAGCTTGTGTAAAAAATGTATGCTTTGAAAACCTTAGCATGTTATATAAAAATATGGTGTTACCATTGTGGATAGGTCCTCAACTGATTTTGTTGTGTGGGTTAAGGGCTACCAGGAAAAATGAAAACAAACATAAATCTTTCCTAAACTCCATGCAATAGCTGTGGTGCTCAGCAAAAGCAGAGGTCCTGTGGAGTACGCTCCAAACAGGAAATCACTTACAGCATCATCAGTCACTTAGTTTTCACTGGTAACTTTGTTAAGAGGGCTCCTGGAGCTGGAGCATCCAGAAGGCTGTTCAAGACTAAAGGACATCTGAAGTCATCAAAAGAATTACTCATGTTTATACACAATCATTCACGGCACAGTATTTAGACCTGAGGTCACCCCCACCACCCTAAAAGTTGTTTCAAGCAATTAAAGTCACTCTAGACACAAAGCAGCAGAGAATGCAAGAGCAGGAAAATGCATTTTGCAACCTAGCTAATCATGCATATTTAAATAAACACAACAGATGTGTGCTTTGAAAAAATATTCAACAAGCTCTTGTTTCAAATAAGAACATGCTCTGTTAGGTAAACGTGATGTGGACTTTTAAGGCATTTTACAACACCATGGAGAGAACTGCTGAAGATTTTACACATAACCAACTCTGCAGAGATGAATTTGTGCAGGGAGGAGAGGACAAAGTATGGAACTTTGAGGAAAAGGAGAACATGCAAAAGGAGCAACAGTCAGGAGGAGAATTCTGAAGTCCACTTACTGCCTGCTTTTGCTCTTCCTCCTAAAGGTGTTGAAGGTGAAAAAAAGGCAGAGAGAAAAAGGAGAGAGATTAATGCCCATTACCCCAAACGCATGGAAGAAATGATAGAAGACTAGGGCAAAACCAAGCCAGGCCCGTGGGTTCAGAATCACAGCCCTGACGACCATCCGAGCATCATCAGCTGGAGAGAGCAAACTGCAGGCCTCTGCCCCGCCTGGTTCATTAAATGCCAGCTTCTAGAGTAGCAAAGAAAGAACCTTAGAAACCATCTAGTCTAACTTCCTCATTCATAGATGAAAAAGGCCTAGACAGCCTGACTTGCCCAAGGACACATAACTATTTAGGGTGAACTGAAAGCACCAGCCTAACCATGACTCAAGAGCCCAGCGATCATTTTTATCACCATTTACAATATTTACATGTGTTGAGGTACATTTCTAAATGTGTAGAATACAGACCACCAGGAGTAGCAGCTATGAGAAACTTGTTAGAGATGCAAATTTTGCTCCTCACCCTACACTAACTGAATCAGAACTCTGGGGCAGAGCCAGTGATGTGTTTCAGGAGACTTTCAGCTGATTCTGATGCCAAGGATAGTTGCTCTAAAACTTTCCAAACAACTGGCAATTCCGCCTGATCAGAGATTCTCTTATTTATTCCCTTCCACTTGTTTTGGGCTGCTCTGTGGTTTTTTCCAAGGACACACATGTATCCCCATTTCCCCATTAAACTGGCAAATGCCTCAGGGCTTTCAAAGAGAATTATTGACCTTGGTGTCTCATTAATTCAACACAGGTTCAGGTAATACTTCCTATGCGTAAAGTACTGGAAACAGGAAGATACGGTCTCTGTCCTGTAGAGGCTTACAGTAACTGTGAGCAGAGCAGGCACTTGCCAACTATAAGCCCTCTGTGTGCCCCACCAGGGGCTGTAGGCAGAACCAAAATGAAGGTGGGGCACACACTTTCGAGTTTCTCTCCTCAGTTTTTTGCTCTTAAGTCACTCTGTTCTTTAATGGGTCTTTTCACTTCTTCTTTCTGTGCTCATCATGGGTAACTGTGGTCAGGAAGCCTCTGCCCTTTGCCCCCAGTACACAAATCTCAAAGGTGTTGCCGTGGTTCTACTTAAATCGGACCTGCCGGTGCAGGCAGTCGTTACTGCACACGTGTGTAGGAAGTCCTAGGGACGGAGGAGTGCTTCTGCTTTCACATTGTCTGTATATCTAGGGGCAGTGGTGAGAATGATTTTGGTGAAGCCAAGGAATTACCAAGGGAGAGGGGAAGTGAAAATTGGGAGAAAATAATTTTACTCCTGCAAGGGAGAGACATGGACAAGAAATCCAATGGGCACCAAGGTATCTCTTGAGGAGACTCCAACTTAATGCAAGAAGACCTTCTTCATGATCAAAGCCAGCTGCTAGATGCCTGACCAAACCTAAACTCATAGGAGCCCAGGCAGAGGGAGCCCTGAGCATGAACTCGTTAGCCTGAAGAAGCTGGCATCTTCCCGCTTTTGTATCTGGCATGCACAGCTCTAATTAGGAGGGGTTTAAGTCTTGCAGTTAGGATGTGATCTCCCTTCCCAGATAGGCTTCCACCCTCTGTGGGGCAGAACACTTTTCTTCCATTTTTTAGGCAAAGCAAACAGCCACAGAAGAATTACTCAGCAATTTAAAAATGTGTTTTCATTGCTGTCAGTAAGTGTTGAAATGGAAATGGAGAGAGTGGGGGAGGAATGCAGCAATCCTGACGGGCTGAAATTGCATCTAAGGTAAATAAAAACAACAACAAAAAAAACCCATTATGTAATGTCTTAGAACTGTTTCTGAGACACCTCCCTGTTTTCAGTTTTCTCCAGGTTTGGTATTGGAGATAACATTGCTTTGGTTCAACAGAACAGCGACATTTCAGAAAATGATGTTTCATGTTTGCACATTTGGTAACTCTGATATGAGTTTGTCCAAATATAATGAAAGCATTATAATCTGCAGTAGACACATGTGTCAGCTTAGGATGGGGAGGGTGGACAGGACAGCGTTTTCAGGGCCTAGAGTCCTCCCTGCATTGGGATTGGGAGATGGTGGACTTTGGCCAAGTGTTACTTCGGATGGTGTTGTATAATTTAAACTCAAAAAAGTTATGCTGATAAAGCCTTGAAGCCTCTGTCAACAGAGTGAACAGGTCAAATATAAAGTCTTAGCATTTTTTTGTTATCACTTAGTCAGTTGGGGTCAGTAAACATTGACTGATGACAAAGCATAGGAGCCAACTTGATTTAAAGGGGGTAATAATACTTTAATTATAAAGTATAAGCCCAGAACAACTTATGTCTCCCCAAAACATGTGAGACTCTTTTATATGGGGTATCTGGCTAGGTGGCCAAAGTAATGCCATGGCCATTGTAGTCTATGTAAAAACTTACATTCAAAACCTCATTTGCAAATGAGGTTGAAAATCAAGATTGCAGAATTTATCTGTTAAGTGTGTTTTAAAAGCATTATTGGAAAAATGGAAAGTGAGACACAAAAATATTGGGAACATGATTTAGGAAATGAAACACTAACATAATAGCCAAATAAATTTGAGGCAGAGGTTATCCATATACTCATTAATCAGAGGAAAAAAGGTCAGGAAAAGATATGTTCTGAAACATAGATACCTGAGTGTCAGTATACATTATGTTACAAGGAAAACCCAACAAGAATAAGGAGGTCCCTGATACTCCCCTGGTGACAGAGATTGAGTATTATCCACAATTATACACCAAATGCCTAAACATGACACTTGAGAACTCAATACCTTTTTGTTTAATAAACATGATTATTTATCCTGCTTTGTTCAAAAATAAAGGATTCAAGGCTTTTATTGAATGAATTAATAAACAATCATGACACTTCATATGTATGCTTCTTGAAAATTATCATTTTTCAGATAAATAGAGTACATGATAATTCACGAAAGCAGTAGAATGAACTCCCTGTGAAATGGCAGTTTAATGTCTGGTGTATTTTAATTTATGAGTATCCCAGGCCATGTGGCTCAACTGTCCATTTGAGTAACTGCTTACAGCTGCTTTATGAAAGAATTAAATGCTAGCAGACTGAACATCAGTGAAAGCAGGACAATCCTTTGAAATTAAAATTAGGATCCTAAAGCATAATTTTATAGGTTAGTGAGTTTTTTTAATAGTAGGAAAAAGGTTTTGAAATTTTAATAGAAGTCAATGATTCCTATGTATGAGCTTTCAGGAGTACATAATGCAAATTAAGATTATGTTGTAATCCTTTCAGGAAGCTAGACACTAAAGGCATAAGATTTTCAACTGTGAATTCTAAGCAGTAGACAAAAGACAACATTCCTGGTTTGTTTGCAAATTCTCCCTCCCAGTACAAACGGCCTCAGTCTTCCAGGTGGGTAAAAGATAAGGCACTGAAGAAGCTGGCAGGGGACTTTACAAAATGGGGCATCATGATCTTGTTTATTTTAATTAAATTATAACTGTAAGACAACAGCTAGGAAATACAAGAAACTCAGGATTTGGGATTCGAGTTCCAGTCATCAGTTCATTCTGCCTAGCCCTTGAATACCCATGTCAGAGGCAAATTAAAGATCATAGAAAGGCACGTGGGGCTCTCAGTCAGGAACTCTAAGGAATGCTTAGGGCGACCCAATGGACAGGAATGCACACTGCAGTACTTTGGGAGATGCATCCTGACTTTCCTTAAGTTTGCAGGAAATTTTGTCTTTTACAAAATCACTCTGGGGTACCTTCTCCTCTGTGTTTGGGTAAGGAGGTTTGACACAGGGAAGGGGTGGGTGGATCCACTATGGTCTCCTGTCCTACAAGTGGACTAACGCCACAATGGCAGGGCTTCTAAAACCCCACCTGGCTTCAGATGTTTCACACGCCAAATGCATTTAAGTATATCTCTGCTGTCTTCAGTGGGTGATTGGGTTGCTTAGTTGGATACCTGGCAACCATTAGAGGGATTTGGGCCAGGTTTTATGCATAAGGGTTTCTTTAAACGAGACCCATTTAGACATAAAATATCTCTTGGGAGAAATCCTGTTAACAGAGTTAATGTAGAAACATGTCCATGCAAAACAACCCATATAGCGAGGACCAAAGCTAGAAAAAGACTAAAAGAGGTGATGGTCTTCAACAAATCAGTAGTTAGTTTAAGACACAAACACTACATATATTCAAGTTGCTAATACCACTAACTTTGTTAAGGGGCTGGTCTAGAATGGAGAAGCTGAAGAAAAGTCTCCAGTTGATATTTTCTTGGGCTACCACTCTGGTCTAGACCCTGGCACTTTGGACTATATCATTACATTAGTCTCCTATTATCCTTTGGTTTCCCCCCTTTCTCACCTGTACTGCATGTTTTCCTAAATCATTGTTTTCAAAACCTTCATGACTCCCCTTTATCACGGGATTAAATCTGCCCCCCTCAACCTGGCTTTTGAGGCATTCCATGTCTAGTGATTCTCACTCTGGCTACTACCTCTGTGTCATACAACAAAATACAGTGGTTTCACGCATAGACAGACTGACCTTACTAACAGCATGAACAAATGTGCTCTGGAGTTGCTGCTACATAGCTGGGTAAATATTTCTGTTCAATGCCAGTAAAATTGTCCAGGTGAGAACATCTAAATGCTAAGCATGCCCTTCCCTATTCTGGGGTGCAGAGGTTGTAATATATTGTTCAACAAAAATAGACAGTGAGACCTGAGTTATTCCAGATTTATTCAAGCCCCAATATACCAAACCCGGAACTAACATGCTATTTTATTCCTCCTAGTAAAGTTACTAATTAGAATTGGTTTGATTAGCTTGGTTTGCCTCTGTGATACTTATAAAAATAGGACACAGTATTTAGGTAGAATATTTGAAAACTAGTCTCAGAAGAAACTTTAGTTGAGAAATATTCATTTATACATAGCTAACACCATATTTATAAACATTATTATTTTATTCATAAAATACTCACAAAAACAATTTAAGGATGTTACTCCAGTTCTAGTTACTTATTTTTTATAATCAGCATTTACACTAATTTAGATGACTTTCTGGAGTCGTGACTAACTTCACGGAGGTTCACCTGAAACCTGGGTCTAGGCAAAAATATTTAAGCCTTTAGCCTCACCCTGTTCCGACATCACAGGACAGGCAGAAGCAGAGGTGACAGAAGATGAACAAGACATCTGTGTGGTGAGAGCAGCCTGAAAGCAGCCGCCGACTCTTACCTTGAGAAGCTTCATTAGCCCTTCCAGCTGAACCATCAGCTCCCGCCTGCTCTCCTGCAGAGCTGACATCCTCTGCTCCAGTTCATCTTTCCTTTGCCTGTAGGACAGGAAAAGTGCCTTAGAAATGAAACTCTGGAGAAAAAGAGACCCTCAAAGAATAATTCAAGGCCAGGTGAAATGGGGTTTAGACCTGACTCTGCTACTTAGCAGTGTATGAGATTTTGGGCAAGTCATTTAATCTCTGATACCTTCTGTATGAAGTGGTGATAGCACTGTTTTGCACACTCTCCTTTACTGCTGTGAGAAGAGTATATAAAAACACCTTAGAAAGTATATGTTGCTATATAAAGGAAATGCATTATTAATGTTATTATTAAAGTGATTTAAAAAATTCTTCAGGATGTCTAATACCTCATTTAGGAAGGTACATAAAACTAGTCCAAATTTAAATGAATAGTGAAGAAAATGTATGAAATTTGCTCAGGAAAAATAGAGTTCAGTAGTCAGTGCTTCCTGCAACCAGACATCAGGTTCAAGAAGTGTGACCACCAACTGAATGACTGTATGTCTAAGAGAATTCACTTTCAGGTTTCATGTCAATTCAAGTTCATTATGTCCAACACCAAAGAATTCTGTCTATACATGGTTTCCAATTTTCCTGTCTCTGGCACTTTTTCTTCTAGTTGTCATGGCTGAAAAACTGAGCCCTCTCTGAAGCCCTATATCTAATCAATCACCCAACACAGATGCTTCTTTCTTGGAAATTTATGTGTCTCTTTATTCCCACTTCTCTCACTTTATCCAAGTGCTCCTTTCTTCACACATGCAATGGTCTCCTAGTTTGATTAATTCTTAACTGAAAAACTGAGCCCTCTCTGAAGCCCTATATCTAATCAATCACCCAACACAGATGCTTCTTTCTTGGAAATTTATGTGTCTCTTTATTCCCACTTCTCTCACTTTATCCAAGTGCTCCTTTCTTCACACATGCAATGGTCTCCTAGTTTGATTAATTCTTATTTCATCTGTAATAATGAGGAAAAAGCAGTGGAATATAAATCAGGACACTTGAGCATAGGGAATATAGTCATTAATACTGTGATAGCTTTGTATGTTGATAGATGATAACCCACACTTATAATGGTGAGCATTTAGTAATGTAGATACCTGTCGAACTGCTAAGATGTACACCTGAAGTCAGTATTATATATCAACTATGCTTTAATAAAAAAATAAAATAAAAATAAAAGGTAGAGAAAATAAAAAAGACTTGAGGCCCATCATTTACCACATATGCAACCTTGGACAAGTCACTTAACCTGTCTGAGCTTCAATTTTCTCTTCTCTCAAATAGGACTAATAACAAAAATCAAACAAGCAAACAAAAATGGGACTAATAATAAATAACAGCAGCACTACTTTGAGGATCAAAGAAGATAATGGGTGTGAAAATGTTCTGGGAATTTACAATGCTGCTCAAGGGACAGGCTGTGTTCATCACATCATCCTATATAACAATCTCAATAGAATTTCTAACATTACTGACTCTTAACCTGCACAGTCTAGACCTCTGCTGTCTAATACAGTAGCCACTAGCCATATGTGACTACTGAGCACTTGAAACATGGCTAGTCTGAATGAGAGGCACTGGATTTCAAAAACTGTGTGAAAAAAAAAGTAAAATATCTCAATTTTTTTATGTTGATTAACTGTTAAAATGGTAATATTTCGGATATATCAGGTTAAGTAAAAGACAGTATCAAAATTAATGACACATTTCTTTTTAGTTTTTCAATATGGCTATTAGGAAAGCTTTGATTACATATGTGGCTGTTTCTGCTGGAGACGGCTGCTTCAGGCCCCACCCACATGCCTATCCTTAGCACCTCACTTCCTGTTCCTTGCCTGGTCTAGGCCCTTCACTTTTCTTTAAAGAGACCCCATCATTTTATGGCTCATGGCTATTTCCACTTCTTTTCCAAATATTATCCACTCCTTAGTGTCTATCCCAAGGGTCACTCTTTTTAGGAAGCTATTCCTGATTACTTCAGCAGGTATCAAGCCCTGCTTAATTATTCACTGTAGCAACTGGAGCTTCTCTGTAGCACTTAATTTATTTTATCTTGCATTGCTGTCATTCCTACCTTGATGTGAAATCCTTGTGGTCAGGGGGTGAGTCTTACTCAACTTTGTATATATTGAATGATTAAGACAATATTACACATCCAGTATGACTCAGTTAACATCTAATGAACCTAATGAAATCATTACTTGAAACTCTCTGAGGACCTGGTCTCAATTATCTAACTAATTTTATCTTCTATCACTGACAAAGATTAATTCAACGGATGATTGAAAACAAATTCTTAGCTCCAAGACTCTTTCCCCTCTCTGAAAAGTGTCATGCTTATTTGGGGGATCATGCTGACCCCAACTCTGCTTCTAATCAGATACCTTTTGCCCCACACTCCAACCAAATCATACCTACCTTTCATGGTCTAACTTGTCAACCTCCATAACTCCATGGGCATAGTTGCTACTAGCCTACATATGTATCTTTCTCTACTCAGATTTCTTATAACGTAATACCCATACTATTTATTAACACATTATTTACAGTTTTATAAAATACCTTTATGGTGTTCTACCTTCCAAAACTAGACTATAAATTTTTAGGACAGAATCATTGTCTTCTAGCCTTCATTCTCCCTAAATTTCCAGCACAGGCATAAACTGAATAAGGAGGAACCAACTCACTTAATTTTCTAGGAAACCTTTCTTCCCTAAACTCCCAAGACTGTATACAGTACTCTTTCTATGTGCTGCGCATGACCAAAAAATTATATACGTGGTGAAAATGAATGAACTATGGCTACATGCAACAACATGGAAGGACCATAAAGAGTAATAGTGAGGGGGGAAAAGTTCCAGAAGACTACATATAATAACATTTCTATAAAGCTCAAAACACAGAAAGCCAAACTAAACCCTTCAGTGCATAGGAATACACATATATTTGATAATACCGTTCAAAAAGCCAGGGAAAGATAAACCAGGTTCTGAATAGAGCTTATCTCTGTGGGGAAGGTGGAAGCAAGGAGGTAGGATGAGTGGGCCACTTATAGAGTGAAATTGTTTTAGCAATATTGAATTCTCAAGTAGGATGTGGGTTCCTGGGAGTTCATTTTATCATTATGTTTCATATTTTATCCATTTGTCATATATATTATTGCAACAAATAGACCATTACAATAGTAATAAGGGATGAAAGACAATCCTGGTGGTCAGGATCCATAACGATTAATCCTAAGGATGAAATTCTCTATCTTCTTCTACTACCCTAGTATCAGCAGTTCCTGGATTCATATATTGATCAAAACCAGTAGGATGTCAGATACCTACAAATGAATTTTGCCCTTTATGTGTCTTTTGATAAATAAAACTCCTTAATACTAACATATATAAATGTACCCACTTCTTTCATGGTTAGTACTTATAAGAAATTATTTTTTATTCCAAAATCCTAAAGAAATTCTCCTACAGTTTCTTCTAGAAGTTTAAAAGTTTTGTGTTCATGTTTAATCCACTTGGTGATGTTTTTGTGTATAGTCTGAGACAGTGAGCCAGTATGCTTTGTCCATATACATAACAAATTGATCCCGCACACATATTAGAGAATCCCTTTTCTTCAGTAACAGAGAAGCTGCTTTTGAGATTAAACACCTTCTGATTTCTCAGTATTTAGATCCTCCTTGCATTTAGGTTAAATTCCTGTTCCTTGCTGTAGGAGTAATGTGATAGCCCTGGACTCAGCCCTTTGCCTACTACATCTATGATGTTTTTCAGATCCCTCCAGCTTAACTAAGTGCTTGTAGCCATCTCAGTTCCAGCAACACTAGGACTCAAGTATCAGCTTTTCTAGATACAAAATAGTCACTAGATTCTGAGCTGTGGTGGGGAAAGGTCTGTGCCTTAATGCTGATAGCTTCGGGTTACACTCTACCTGAGTGAGCTGCACTTGCTTTCCCATATTTCGCCGTGTGACACCAGCTGTGCTAATGTCCCAAATGGGTGACAGTGGGCCACAGAGCAACCACATTCTCAGCCCAACTAAATTTAGAAACTACAATGAATGTTAGGAGAATGGGAGTCTCTATATCTTTAATGACTTTCATCTGCACAGTTTAAATTCTTTATGAGTTATTTATTGATGATATAAATCAAAACACAAGGACAGTTATGGAAAAACAATAATCTCCATTATCTAGGAAAAGAAATCATGGTTAAGAAGCTAAATGAGCTAAGCCAAAGGAAGAATTAAAAAAGGACATTCAGCTCTGCAGAATCCCACGTGAGAGCACATTAAAAACCAAC